TTTTCAGCTATGTGACCTTGGGCAAATTACTTTTAAAGGTACAGTCCTTTCTTTTACCTCAGTTTCTTCGATTGTAAAGAAGAAATAGCACCTACCTCCCTGGCTTGTTGGGAGAATTAAACCACTTGAATACATAAAAGCATTTAGAAAAAGGACTGCTGAATAATAGGGGTGGTTATCTTTGTAATCAAGTTCTCAGAAGTATAATAAGAATTAGGAATGTCAGAGGTGAAAGTAATTGGAGTGAAAAGAGATAGTCACTGTATTCTATTTGCCTTATCTGATAATTAAAGTATCCACTAGACCAAGGTCTCCAAACTATGGTGAATTGTATAATCATTTCATTATATATTACAATGTAATAATAATAGAAATAAGTGTACAATAAATGTAATGCACTTGAATCATCCCAAAACCATCCCCCTCCCCAGTCCATGGAAAAACTCTCTTCCATAAAAATGATCCATGGTGCCAAAGAAGTTGGGGACGACTGCACTGGACTGTGAGCATCATAAGCACAGGAACAGTCTTCTTAACTCCTGAAACCCACTACTTAGCATATATCCTCTTTGGTATGTAATAGTTTATTGTGTTGAATAAACTAATTCCTGTTATTTATGTAGCTCTTTTTAGTTCTCAGAGCATTATCATGTAAATATTTATTTGTTCATTTCTACAACCTTATAGTATTTACTACGTAGTGTTTTAGCGCCTTACATTAACTGAGTGCCAGCTCTGTCCCAGGTGCTGCTGAGTTAGATGAGATATAGTCATCATATTCGCCCTCTATGGTGCCAGTTTTTGAAATGATAACACTAAAGCTTGAAGGGGTAAAAAACTTAAAACCACACAGCTAGTAAGAGACAGAGATAGGAGTCTAGTCCAAATCTGTCTGACTGGTTCTTACACTAAACCATACCGTGTCTCCCCTTTATGTGAAAAAGATGTCAGAAGAGTTTGGCCATGATCACATTGCTAAGAATAGATCAAGTACCACATTAAGCTCAAGTAGAAAATAGTGAGAGCTTACAGCATTAAAACATATGGTAACAGTAAACTTAAAGTGATCTAAGATACTTGTGTTATCCAAGAGGAGAAGAAAGATACTAATTAAAATTGGATTTGACTAACCACTAAAAGAATAGAAAAAGAAG